AATTATCTTCTAAAAATATTAAGTTTAAAAATTCCGTATACATTCCGCATGATTAATTTTTTCCGTATACATTTCTTATACATTAGTTTTTTTAAAAAATGTTCAAAAATGAATTGCTTATTAAATATACGGAATTTGTATACGGAATCTATAAAAACGTACAAAAAATGTATACAAAACGTATCCTTTCCGTATACATATTTCTTATAGGGAATACTATTTTTTAATATTTCTATAAATTCATTCTCCGCTTTTATTATGTTATCGATTAATTCTAACCTTTCGTTAAAAATTTTATCTCTTTTCTCTTCTTTATTATAACTTTTGACACAATTGTTTTTCAAAATTATATTTCTTAATGTCTCGTAAGGTTTTATATTTGAATCATCTATTCTTCTTTTAATCACCTTACTATCCTCTTTTCCTAAATATATCTATCAAACATTCACCTGTATTATTTTTCTTTCCAATATTCTTTTCGCCAACCTTCACATTTAATTAAAACAGGTGAATTATCCATGTTTGCTTCTCCATTCTTAATTATCAAATGTATTCCTATTCTCTTATACTTTTTACTTTGTGATTTCTTTTTATCTTCTCTTTATTTTTTTTTTATTTATTTGCAACATAAAATAATAGAATAATAAACGAATATAATTACATTTTTCGTGTGTGGATAAAGTATTTTAATGCTTTTTTTTATTTATTGAATTTGTTATAATGCTAAGTTAAATAAGAGGTAGAAACAGTTTTTTGTTGATTGTTTATGAGAACATATGGGGTTGGTGGTACTAAGTCTCTGGTATTCGTGAATGACATTAGGATCGATGGGAACTGGGTGCATCAAGTGTTATTCCCGTCGACATTGAAATAATGAGTATGTTTGTAAACATCAACTTCTATTATTGATCCTCTAACAGAGAATACAACTTGGATACACTGTTCAGGTAGGTTGGTAACTACTCCTATGGTACCGTTACATATACCGTACTTGATCAGAGAATTATTTAGGTACATCACGCAAGCCCCTGGTTGCAAACGAATGGATTGTTTTTGAATATGTGGAATATGTGGCGTGAATGTGAGGGGTCCCATCGGTCAGAATTTACAAAATCGGATGCTTGTGATAGTTACAGATAGATGTGTTGATTTCTTGGGCAGTTTCTTTAAATCTGACGATGTGGGTGGTGTTGATTGTGGGTGGAATGTGAATTCTGAACGGTGATGTTCTAATTTGTTCTATGTTCGTGAGGAGATATTATTTATTCGTACCTCTTCTAAAAGTTGGTAGAAATTCATATTGCCATTGACGTTGAGGAGTTTTTAAGAATAACGGATAAAATAGAGTCCAAATGGCAGCACGAAAGACAGGTTGACCGTTGACAGGGGAAGTTAAGTGAGATCATCTACTACGATTCATTGATGCCGCCAAAGGTGATGGAGTTGTTGTAAATTCTTATGAATGTGTTGGATATAAAATTTGCAGAGACCATTGAGATCTCGTTAATAATTATTGTGTCAACATTTTTTAGGCGAGTATTTAAATCTGTATTTGTGAGGCAATGTGTATAAAAGCCTCTTTGTGTCAATATGATGCATAATTCTGAGTGGATCATTTTTCCTCTGATGTTTTGTCTGTGGGTGCTAGTAAGAAAAAGTTTGAGTGTCTGTTGTTAAGCATGTTTATGATTAAATTTATGATGTAGGACTTCCCGTTCCTGCGGGTCCAGTTATGAAGAAGTACAGCCACTTGATGCCATCATTCCTGCCCATGTACGTGGTTATTGTGGAAAGTACGTGGTATTGATCTTGGGGTAGCTCAAGCATTGCGGTTTCAGGGAGTATGAGGAGAAGGAGTTTAAGGTTTTGCATTTGAGTCTTTATGATATGAGAGATAGCAGTAGGTAGTTCGTGACTCAATGATTGAAGTAACCTGTCCAGCATTTCTGTGAATTAAATGTATAATTCGTGATCATTGGGTAGTTATGATGGTGTTTTGTAGGTTGCTCAAAGAGCTGGAAAACAATGAGGGAACTTTTCACGGTATGTACCATTTGGTGAAATTTTGTATTCGGCTTTACTTCTTGTGGGTACATTTTTTAGCAGTTGTTGGTGAAATAAAGTTCACCATCCTCTATTTTAAGGAACTGATGCCTGACTATTATTTCTTTGGTGTGTTTTGTGATATAGTTGTGATTGCTGGAGGTTGATGGAATGATTGATTATTTTTCATAATACTAAAGGTAAGTTAGGTTTTCGAATTTTGGAAGGTGGGTACGAGACATGTATTTTGTAACGGTATCATCATAGTACAGGTTGTCATCATCATCGTCTAACATATAAATCGGTAATATTACACATGTTCGTGTGATAGGGGATTGGTACTTTGGTAGTTATAAATTTCACAGTTACGGAAGAATTACAGATTGTGTGTCCTAAGAGGAGGAACATGAGTTCTATGGATCTGAGCCTTAAGTTTTGCATATTTGGCCTAGGACAGCTGGTCCCTGGCACTTTTCGCTGCAAATGCGTATCTCGTTGGCTATAATTGCAGAGTACAGGTTCATTTAAGGGGTCCAGAATGGTTGAGTGTATCATGTTGTTATAGATCATTATTTTGATGGAGTTGATGGTCCAATAGCAGCTGTAGCAGTATATGCAGCTCCCCTATTCTGGAACTCCACACGATCAAAGAAATCGGTTATATCTCCAAATCCTGTGAGGTCTGATTTTTTGTATAGTTCTTTTTTTAACAATTGGAATATATGAACAAAATAATTAGTGTAATAAAACGGCCTATTGATAGGTAAGGTGTCATTGTTATTACTGATGGAAATAATATGTTATTGAGGTGGAGCCACCTGCTTTCTGTCATGCTTAATATTATAAATAGTGTAGATAGTCCCAGTTTTTAATCATTGTGTCTAGATAAAGTTCTTTTTGGTGAAAGTAGGTGTCACCTGTTGTATAAAGTTGGGATAGGGTTATCTTATTTTCGCCTATTATATTACGTGAATTATCTGTTATAAAAGCTAGGTTTGAGCAAATCTCTTGCAATAGGAAGGTGAGAGGAAGAGGTTAATTATGATTGTTTTAATAAGTGTTGGTGTTTTGATGGATTCTTAGTTTAAATAAGACCATGATGGCCAGTAGTGATGGAGTCTCCACCTTAGGATCTATATTCATTAATCATAATTTGATGTATTTGCCATAGGTTTCGTCATGAGCTTCGCTGACTGATGAGGATCAGGTCATTACATCATGGTAGTGTCCCTTCCCATCTGTGAATATCTGGGGATAGTAAGAGTTCCAGGTTGGGATCGTACATGGAAATTAGTGTGCGCAATATTTTGTTTCTTAAACAAAACCCGCCATCAGCCTGGTGTAATCCCTATAAAAAATTTTTTTTGGATGTATTCCGATTTTTATCTGGTTTATGTATTCCGAAAATTTTCCGATTTTTATTTTCCGATTTTACTACGGAAAGTGATCATTTTTCTGAATGATAATTACAGATTTTACCCGAAATTGCTCGGTAAATTTTATGAATGTAACCGGAATATTGTCAGATGTTTTACAATATATATTATCCGAAAGTACTCAGAAAAAAAATTTATTGAATATTACAGATTACAAGTACTTTTTATTTATATTTATATTTTCTAGATATTATCTGAAAGTACTTATCTATGAGTATATGAATAATAATATTCTATCTTTTTGCTTTCTTTGATTTTTGCGAGTAGCAATTTGGTTATTAGTTGTTTTTTTCTTTTGTTTAACTTGATCTCGTCATTATAGTTGAACTTTTATTGCCTCCTATATTTATTAAATTATAAATTGTAATATTATAAATATTATAAACACTAACAAAAAATAAATTTACCAGAATTTCTTGAATCCTCTTGTATTTGTGAAGTTACTAATTGAACATCAGCTCTTCTTTCAGTAAGAATTACATTTGAAGATGCTTCAATAATTATTTAGAAGGAATTGATGCAGATTTCTCCTTAATAACTTCGGGTGAGGACAATTGGACATTAATATCAATACTTGATGATGATTTATCAGGAATTGGTGCTCGTGAATTTGGCCTTGTTTTCTTGAGTTTTAGATTAGGGGAGTGATATTTTTTCGTTTGGAAGGTGGATCAATACCTTGTAAATGAGCTTCTTTAACTTTTCTCTTGCGTTCAGTTTCAGCTATAAAATTTATATTAATATCAGATAAAATTGTACATAATAATAACGTATTACTAAATAATTACCCTAATTTCCAACGATATCTTCAGTCATTTTTTGCAAAACAAAGTCAATAGGAAATGTTGGAAAATTGGTTTTAAACTAAATAACAGTTTAGAAAGTTAGTTAGGTTTAAGAATATGGATGATATAAATATATAACTTACATTATTAATGACATTTTGAATTTTACCCAAAGTTTGTTTTGATGCATATTTTCCTTTTTCACAAATAGCACTTAGCTTCAGTTATCATGAAGACTTCTCAAAATGTAAAATTAATACTTGCCCGATAAGTCCAATATGTATCATATGATAAATAGAGAAAATCTTTCCAGTCCTCTTTTGGTCATTTCATTTTTTCATTCTTCTTTGGTAATAGGATTTTGTATTAAACCACGTGGAAACTAACAATTACCGTATTATTAATATTACTAATATAATTTTATCACTAATCTTATATTTGAAACATTTTTTGTATTTAATTATAATGTCTGCTGTAGGAGTATTTGATGGTATAACAGTAGAAATAGGCGTTGGAGTTGGCGATCATCATATCATAGCAGCTTATTCTAAATTTGTTATAATATCTAAATAAAAGTAATATTATGGTAAATTCAGAATATTTAAAAATTTCAATAAATCTTTATCCTCGAACTACTACTCAAATAATATTGCTTACTGTTATAATTTTATATTTACTGTTAATATGTTAATTTTTTTATTTTTTTGAATATTTTATAAATATTATTGTAGTAGTAATATTAAAAAAAAAATAATAAGAATTAAGTTCTAAAAAGCAAAGATACGCTTTTATTTATACTTTTATACTTCAATGATCATTTATTGCGAGCTTATTTTTTCTATAGATTAAAACTAAACGCGTTTTTTAAACTTATATACATGTTTTTAAACGCGTCCACTTATATTGATAAACTTTTAATTTAACTAATTTATTAAGTGATCTACATGAAATTGTTTTCCGGAGTATTTTCAATTTAAATATAAAACTGGATTATTTTCGGAATATTTCTAGAAATTTTCATTTATGTTAAATTCCTAAAATTTGACTAAAACAACATTCGCAATATAATCAGAATATTTTCAGTAATATTCGGAACATTTTCAAAACATTCGGAAAAAAATCGGAGTGTGCTGAATAAAAATTTTTTATAGGGAATGAAAGTCTTAGCCATGGTTTTCGTCAGGAAAGTCGTGATTGGGTACGATTATTTCACATGATCTACATTAGTTTCTACATGTCTTGCCGTTGGAAAGGGACTGCTTGATCTTTGGAAGAAAAACTCTCTCCCCCTTTTTTCAAATTGTTAATGAGGCGCAGTAGAATTACTTTTATTATTACGAAATAAACGTTTTTTTTTTTATTTTATTTTCGCTAGCTATTACATTTTATTTTAACTTACAACAACTCGCGAATATACACAAGTCACTCCATATCTTTTAGTATATACATATGGTAAAAGTTTTACTTTTAATAGAATTATACAGTCAAGAGACAACGTTATATAAATACCCCCACTACGTAATATACAACCTAGCAGTTATATAAGAGTTTTTTCTTTTCCCTACTGTCGCCTAAATATACCATTTACCATTTACATTTACATTTACATAATTTTTACTATCCTTTATTATCATATACATTATACACTATACATATGTCTTCCGAAAAATTTTTTCCTTCGGATAAAAAATTATCGAAAACTCCCTTACAGGTGTCCCTGAAAAAATTTCACGTGATCAAACCAAATCGATCAGGTTTTAACAAGATATATGAAATACGCTGATCGAGGAGTTTCTTTTTTGAGCTCTCCGATCATGTTCTGATTACCAATAATATTCATTTAAAGATATACACAAATGATTATCAGATGAACACTAAACCTATTAGTTATAACAACACAAGTTCATTCCCGAATGACAAATACCAAATTAGTTGCATGCTTACACATTTTTTTTCCTTACAAAGAGTTATACCCCTTCGTGTACAACTAAAATATTTTAATTTGATTCGCAACAAATTATTGGATAGAAAAAAAATTATTGAATCACGTGCTTCTTTGACGGCAAGATGCAACACGATGACGAAAACTTTTTTTAATTTTAGTTATAAAAGATATAGATTTTATTTTTGAATTTATATTCCTTGTTCATTTAATAATTAATCTAACAATCCTTATACACCTCCTTTATGTCAAATTCCTAGTCCTTTCATTATGTCAAACGATCGATGTGCTTGCATCAATCATCAAAAATCTTTAACTAAACACAATTTTTACAAGAATATTAAACCAAAAAATAATATACTTAATAGACAAACAAATGAAGATTTTATTAATGACAAATCTTTTCATGCTAATCTTTTATATCATAGATGGCTTTCTAGTCAGCCCAAACACCATTACTCAAAAAGAACGGGCATTTCTTATATTAGCTCTATCCATGCTCGGGATGCTAATTCAATCCTGAAATTAGGCAACAAACATATTTATAGAAAGGTTTTCTCCAACTTTCAATGAATTTTTAGTCCTAACCTTCGTACTGGACAAAAACAAGAAAAACGCTTTATTCGCGCTTGTCGACGTGTTCTTAATAAAGCAAAAGGAGATGATCACCAAGCCATTTTAGCAACTGCTAGAAAAAACAAGTTTATATTCTTAAAAAATCAATACGTCAAGTTCCCCATTCGACATTTAGTTTACAAGAAAGGTTTTACTGAACCAAATCCTGAGGATTATCCATTTTTGGTTCCATTTTACGCCAAATGACACCCTAACGAAAATAAAACTTGGAAAAATATTAATACCTTATCAAAACACCTAAATCAACCTAATACTCCTAGGATTATACCAAAACCTCCTGACACTACTGAACCATATAACCCTATTCCTAACATGTTTATCCCTGAAAAATATCGTGATATTATACCTAAAGATCCCATTTACATTGACGATCGCTTTATTACTCCAGGATCTCGTGAATGGTTTACATATATGTATAATTTGGAGAAATCTATCAGAGAACAAGAGATTCAAGACTTTAATGAAAGAGTACATCGTGAAGTGGAACAAGCGTTCAAGAGAACGCGTATAGAAAAACAAGCTTCAAGGGAGCAAGCGAAAGAAGAACGCAAATAAGAGGCGATATACCTTGGTACTAGTCTCAAACACTTGGATGCTCGTAAATCACAAGTGGAATTTTTAATGTACTCAACAGACGACTTTCACAAATACATTCCTGATTATTTGATGAAAAGAAAATCACGTATCGACGCTGGTCGATCACATGGATTTCTCGAAAGAGACCTAAAGAAATTTCTCAAAGATCACAAAATCAGACGAGAACATACTATTTTCGTCCCTTCATATAAACAATTGGTAGTCTCAGACGATACCACAACTTTAGAATCACGTCCTAACAAACGTAACATCAACGACAGAAGGAATTTATTTTCCTCACATATAGATACACCACAGAAACGATCCCGTCTAGTACCAAATAATGATTATGACTCTACAGAAGCGGGACTGTCAAATTCGAAATAGTTTATTTTATATTTAGATCTATCATTTAGAGTCAAATTATCCTTTTTCGAGTAGATTAATCTACAATTTTTTTACATTTTTTTATATACACATATATATATTTTGAACTTTACAAACAACTTAAAATAGTGTGAATCATTCCACCTCTTACAGTATTTACAGGTGGCGGCTTTGGCCAAAAGAAAAATACGGATCTTTAATTTTTATATTTCAGATTGACATGTTGCTTTTTATAGACTATACTACTCTAGAACTATTAATTTTCTATATATATAATTGTTTTATTTTTAGGTTCTCTAGCTACGGATGGGTCTTTAGGTTTTCTTTTTTTTCTTTTCCCCATTCGAAGTATTAGCGTAGTTCTAGTAGTTTGAATAGTATTGTTCGAAGGGTGAGGTCCTGTAGGGGATTAATTTCCAAAATTCTATACACGCCTATTTGTACCATCATGCAAACGATGTTTTACTCTTATTTTGTAATAGTTTTGGGAGTACTACTCTTTTAGTAATAAAATAAAATAAACTGCTTGATCTTTGATTTCATGATGTCATGTTGGTGAATGACCAAAGGTAAGGGTTAATTTGAGCTAACCATGATGCAGCTCGTTGTAGTGTTACATCATGTATTGAGTGATGGGTTATGTTATTAACACTGTTATATTGGGTTCTGAATAGAGAGCATGTGCTCAAATATTACGTGAATGGTTCATCATTCCAGCTAGACTTCTGTATGCAGAGTAGGGATTGCTGTTGGGAGTTCTTCATAGAGAACAATGTAAGTAGATCGGGGATAGATATTTCCTCTTGTGCAAGGGAACCTTGTGAAGGTTTTTTACAAGAATCGCAAACTGGGACTCTCAGTTCAGAGATATGATTAACGTTTGGGTTGAAAGATAATGTGATGTTTGGAAGGGGTAAGTAGTTGATGAGTTGTAAAATATACAACATGCTTTTTTGGGGTATAACAATTTTTTGCAATATACGCAGGTGATCCTAGGCCATTGAGAAAACTAATAATTCGAACTGCTTCTTTAGAAATTCTTCTAAATATTTCACTTTCTTTAAAAATATCACTGAATACTAGATTCATCTAATGTATCATGTAAGGAAGAAAAACTTTTACAGGATATTTTCATCATAATTAGGGATGCCAAAAGTTTGGTTATAACCGATTATAACCAGTTTTTATCGGTTCAGTTACGGTTCAGTTTCAGTCCAAGACCGACCGGTTAACCATCGGTTTTATATATAAAAAAACCGACAAAAAAACTGATCAGTTAATCATATATTCCAAAAGAAAAGAATGTTTATTATATTGAGAATACTATTAAAAATTATGATTTTGGTGTTTATTTATATATATAGTATCCTTATTTTTGAAATAATAAGAAAATTTTTTACATGTCGATCACGTGATTTTTCGTTCCGCTGAAAAAAATCGCAAAATTGACATTATTATCGTAAAAAAATTATAATTTTAAGGAATATTATCAAATAAAATTATAATTAACACTTTCTAACATTAGTTCATTCAATTTTGCAGTAATTTTGCGATCGGTTTTGCAATTCGGTTTTATCGGTCGGTTTTGCGGTCAGTTCAGTTTCAGCTGAAAACTGCGGGTTTAAAACCGAAACCGAACCGAACTGACCATTGGCATCCCTAATCATAATTGTTGTCTAAATAATTGTAACTATTAATATAACATATTATATTTAAATTGTGCAGACAATTACGTTGTAAATATATTATTTTCAGCAGCATATTCACATACATTTTTGTTTTCAGTTTCATTCATTAGAGTTTCAATATGTTTTATAACATTCTCAGTTCGTGATCATTCAAATTTAAATTAATGGTTGCCCTTTTGAAGTAACCTCCCAAATATTTTCTTGCTTTACGTTTATTCAGCCATTAAATGTGGCAGTTAATCTAATTTCATATGATTGTGCAATTTTAAGAATATTTTTCTGAATTTTTTTTTTTGGTTTTAAGCAATAGTTTTCCACCAAGTTTTTTTCAATCTGGAAGTTTAAGACCAGGAGCAATAAAATTAAATAATGCTTTGGTTTCCTTATTTTCAACAAATGAAAGAGAAGACCATTTGAAATACACATTTTAATCATAAATATAGGTGTATATTTAAATGACATGGGTCTTCTATAGAAGCTAGTTAGAGTTGATTGTTTACTAATTGAACTTGTTGAAGTTATACTAGAAATAGTTGAAGTGGAAGATCTATGACGTTTAAGGGGAGTATTTTCATTACCACTATCTTTTTGTTATAAGGCCACGCAAACTAATATTTTCGGTTCACTTCACCCGGCCGGGTCACTTTTTCAAAATTTGACCAAAAAATTTTTATATGTAAAATTTTTTTTCACGTGATTTCAAGTGATTTTATTGGTTAAATTTTATAGTACTTTAAAATCTGCTTCCCAGAAATTAGATGACAAACATGAAAATGATATATCATTAGAAAAATCCTTCATTTTTGTCTCTTTTTCAACTGGTAAACCTTCCCAATCTTTTAAAGTTACAGAGTTGTAACTTATTCGTACATGTATGATAGGAACAAACTGGAACGAAATAAACTAGTAAGTCACGTGACATATAATAAAAATTTTTTATTAATAAAAAATAAAACCCGGGTCCCCGGGTCAATTTTAAATTTTAATGTTACGTGAACCGAAAATATTAGTTTGCGTGGCCTAAAAAATAAATTAAGAAATTATTTTATATTAAATAATTATAATAAATTTATCAAAAAATATACCAGAATTATCTAATTTTCGTTTATCTTCAGGTACAGTTCGAGACAATATTTCTTCTACTTCATCAGTAATGTGTGCTTCTTTAAAGTTATTACAATTTGCTAAATGAGTACGGCACAAATTAGCTTTATTAGTTGTGTAACATCTAGGTATTAATGCTGTCACTTGAACTCCATTTTTTGAACTACAGAAATTCTGCTTTTGCGTTTAATTTATTGTTAGAGTTATCAACCAAAGTAAAATATTCCTAGAATTAGTGTGATTCTGACATTTTTTTAAAAAAAATTTGTGATGGTAAGAAGTTAAATCGATCCTAAAAATCGTAACAGATAATCTTAAACTCTATTTTGAATTTTTGATTGGTTAATTTATGAATTATGACAAATGACAAATGACTTAGGGTTATGTTATATATGATCGGCGGATGGCGGTACAAATCATATGACATATGATCGTACTTTATGACCAAATGAAAATATGAATGCTCATTATAACAGATAAATTATGTATTTATGTAAATACTATTAAGGCTTAATCTATTACGTTAATCCTGGTATGAGTGTATGAACTTGGAAAAATATTACTAAAATATATTTTGATTTTATTCATATTTCAAACTCTTTTCCTTAATTCTTTAAACACTATTTTACATAATTTTCTTACAAATTTTTTTTTTTTTGACTATTTTTTTCTTATAATCTATTCTTTTTTTTTCACTAGGTTTATATTTTGAATTAATTTATTTATAGAAAGTAAAGTCACTATCAAATGAATATCATATGTACGTACCATAAGTCATACATAAATTAACATGATAATTAGAACGAAAAAAAATAAAAAATAATTTTATTTTATTAGCAAAGGATTTAGTGGCAATCGTATCTTAAATAACATCATCAAAAATAAAAGATACATACAGAATGCCAACAAAGAAAATGTGTTGTTTTAATTAACGCTTCGTATTACATCAAGAAATCAAAATTTTGGAAAATTTTCAAACTACATCATAATTTCTTCACATGAATATTTTTTTCATGTGTAGTTAATTATTAACTCCTAATAACCTATAATTATAATATAAGACAGGCTTTGACATTACACAACTAATATATTCGTATGAATTTTCACCCCTGATATATTGAAATTACAAATAAATTTACATGAAAATGTATCATTTTAAATTTTAGCCCTTGCGAAAAACAGGCAGCAAACACAATTTTAAAAATCGAATTCTTAACTTTCCACTGTGATGTCATTACCTTTTTAGAAAGCAGAATAGATCAGAACAGATGATTATAAAACTTTAAAGGAAGAGTTTGTTTATTAGTCAAATCATGTCTTGATTGGAAGCATTAATCCACGTTCTTTTCCAAGTCACTCCAAGTGATGGTTATGATTATCAGCGTTAAATAGTCCATCTTCTGACCTTCGCAATTTATTTATATAAAAGAACTTGCCATCACTCTTAATTTACTTACCAAATATTACCTCTGTCAAAGCTTTTCCCATTAGTAAATTGAATTTCAGTCCATTTTTATAATGGGGATACAATTAATAACATAAATTTTGAATGATACGATAACAAAATTTCTATTATTTTCCCTGGAACTATTAGTACAAGGTGACCTACATTTAATATATTCCAACGTAGGCTTACTATATATATTACTTGAAATTTCATATTAAGCATGTATTTTAGTAAGATATATAGCAGAATATAAAGCGTAAATTTAATGTATAGTCAATGAGTTAACTTCAGTTGACAATATTAAAGACAATATATTTCTGAAAATTTATTATATTAATTAAAACTTGCTAATT